AAAAAAATCAGACCTGGGTCTGATTCAGGACCACATATGGAAGTGGTCTAAATCTGATTTGGGCAAGATTTGAGTGTTCACATTACTTCTGAAGTCCTGGTCACTTGACCCCAAAAACAGATTTGGGCCACTTTTGCCTGCAGTCTGAACCTGGTCTTAGATTTGTAGCTTTTATAGTGCTTTTGGAATCGCAGGTGAATAGGAGGAGAGATGAAACCATCAATAAAAATTAACACGGTAAATGTGGGGCCAAATAACTGCAAGACTCCCTGCAGAAACAATAAAAACTGCATTTACAGCTCATACTTAAATTAAAACCAGGAGGGTTGTGTTGGTTTTTCCTTTAAACTGTCAAATATGCCATCTGCATATTGTATTAAGTCAGATTACGTAAGGGAAAGCGTTGGTAATAAAATCATTTGGTGACGGTGTAAGGCAAAGAATGGTGAACTGCTTCTCTTCACACTCACCTGAAAGAACGGTCAATAATTGTTATCACGTCTCCGTGCTTCAAGCGCTCAGACTGCTGCAAAGCCTCTCCGTTCACACGAGTTGGATTCACTGAGCTCAAATTAGTCAAAATGACCTGGAGAGAAAAACATAAACCTCAAACACGGTCCGCCAGAGTAGCTCAAACCAGAATACTGGTTTCTGCTCAACTTTCATTTCTATCTAGGTGAAGATTTCCCACTGTGAACTCACGTGTGATTTAAACAATGAGACTACTTATAAAAATAACATTGTGATTAACAAAATGTGATAATGTGACAATAATAATTCTTCATTATTCCAGACATCCATTTCACATTAAACACTGACTGAAAGTCAATGCAGTAACGTTCAGTATGTTTCGTTACCTCTTTATTTTCATTCAGGTCAATTCTGCAATGCTCCTTGGAGACCTGAGGAAGCTGAATACGAATATCGCAGTCAGGCTTCCTGTAAAGATCACAAAGAAACAAAATGTCAACCAAGGCGACATATAGGTGGAACAATGCACAATCTACGGATCTAGTGGTGATTTGCCATAAGCAGTGAAAGAAATATACCATAATCTAACAGTAAAGGGAACTGCAGGGTTGTCTAAGTAATCACATGTACAGTGTTTAAGGTTCTGACGTCAGGAGCATATGGCCCGCCTCCAAACCAACAGGGTTTATATAGCACCTCTGACAACCCCAACATGAGGCTGCACGGTGAATGCTGGCCCCAACATAACGTGCTTTTCTGTCTCACTCAACAAATAAGGTTTAAGATAAAAAACTAGAGCAATTAAGATTAGGTTTAATCTAAAAATAAATAAACACAACATGGCAAAATAACATTACACCAAATGCACTTTATTGAATCTCACCTTCCGAACAAGCATGTTGCAGTGAGAGGAAACTCAGTCCCATCTCCTCCACTCCTCTTAACCACGACTATTTTCCCATGCAAAGGCATCTTTCGTTACGTTACGTTACCTGGGAACGTTAGCAAAACACACGAACAACAAGTTAACGGTGTCATGTTTTGGGTAACAGAGCATTTTAACATTTTAACCCCCCCCCCCTCCTCGTAAACAGGCCACGCATGGAAAGCACGATGTGTGCGAAGAGAAAAATATGTTTAATGGTACTTGTTAAACAACTTAGTTAACGGACGTTAGATATTTCCGGACAATGTTACGTTTTTAACGTTCATGTGATTCTACGAGAACGTTAAAATTTAAATTAGCAGCAGTTGTTAACGGTTACATAATGTTCAAACTTTAAAACACACCGCTGACAATTCTGCGACAACCCACGTGTAATGTCGCTTCGGTAGTTATACTGTTGTTTACAGATTGAGATTAGCGACTACAACACAAGATACCTTTTACAGTCAAACATGTAACGCTAAATTAACGTTAGCTGAAACTTGAAGAGCGTTATTGGTCAATATTGCACGACAACACGTTTATAAGCGTTGTAGGCTCACCTGGAAGTCCGTTCAAAGACACGTCAACTTCTGGAAATCCATAAACATCGACCGGGAAGAGGAATTTGACTATAATATCATATCAGACTAAAAGTACAACCGATATCCTACCGTATCCTACAATGTACAACGACGAATGGCTAACGTAAGCTACCTTGAGTAGCCGTCACTTGTCGTCTCTCAGCTCTTCCAGAGAGGCGCCGTGGTATCACTCCGCCACACTACGACCACATACAGTAACCTAAAAAATGCACGGATTAACTTAAGTTTGGGGATAACATATCTGTATTGTTTGTGTTCCTGTGTTTTTAGGTTTTTATGTTGTTCTCTCTAATACATGTAACTTTCATCTGATTAAAAGGCACTACTTTGTTTACAAATCTGGCGGAACAATCTCACTTCGGCCAAGGGACACGGATTTGAAAATGTTTGAAATTCCGCGCGAAGGATTGTGATTGGTTGACACGTCACAATCTCTAGTAAGAGGGCGGGGCATAGTACTTATGGTTTTAGAGCCCAGACAGCCCTATCACCGGTTTCTATTCATGAAAAGCAGGTTTGGCATTTCCAATTAGTTTAAAAATTGTATAATTATCAGTATAATTATCATCCGTACTATTTGTTAAAGATATAAACACCATAATAAGCTCCAGTTAACTCCAGATTGTCAGCTGGTTCATGGGTTTAACCTTAACATACAGGACAGCATAGTATATTTACACAGTGCTGTACTTGTTGTATATAATAATAATAGATCTTTTTCACATAAGAACATTTAATTTTAAAAATTAATCATTAATGTTATTAGTTACACCTGTACTTTTTCAGTCCAAACGTTAGTGAAAAAGGTTTATATGCCGATACTTGGAACATAATATGCTCTCAGAATGAGTCTGTTCATATGGGAAAACAATATTATTCTGTTCAAACAGTCTTTTGTCCAATGCCTGCAGCGTATTTCGCTGTCAATATGTGATTCCTTTTATGTTGCTTCACTAGTGAGAAGAGCTAGACAGTGATTGTCAGATTAGGTGTGGCAACTAGTTTGGAAGCAATCTATTTTAGGCCTAAAGCCATGTACATAGACCTATTTGTCTGTCTGAGCCTAGTGCACACCAACAAGTGACTATTACTCTTTGATCTGGGTGTCATCTTCATCTCGACACCAACTCGTGCTGTGAGCGCTCTATGATAAAATCAATGTCATATGCACTGTAGTAAATCAGGTGTAAACCTAGACTTTGCTGCAATATATTTTATTCTTCTCTCTCTTTTAAAGTGAGTCTATGTATATTTAGCTGAACAGCGGCCACTGTGGCCACAAGTGACAACTACAGGATAATGGCGATTGCTACAACAAGAGCCATAAAGTCAGCAAACTCACCGTTACAATATATCCACAGTTTGTGTACATTAACCATGAACTAATGGCCACAGCAGATAGTAATGCTGTAGCTGTAACACACCTGAGAGTGCTGATCTCACTGATCTGTGTAGGAAGCGAGATAACTGGCTCCAGGTGTAACTTCCTTATTTGTTTTACCCGAGGTATGTTACATGTCTAAACTAGTCCGAGCAGGGTTATCTTCGTGGTTAACTCGATGTTATCATATAAATACCCTATAATATATAATATAACAATATTATAATATTATATATATAATATTATTGTGGAGAAAGGGCGGCACATGTGGAGGACGTTGGCGCTCGGACTGTGAGAGGCGCCCTGCGGAGGGTGAGGGTGTTTGGAGACCTTCACAATCCCTCAGTTTACCCCGATGGTGCTCTTTATCAAAGATATCGATTCTCATCTGAGGGAGTTCAGTATGTGTGCCAGCTTCTAGGGCCGGAGTGCATTTATTATGTTCCCATTCAGTTGTTATAAAGATCAAAGAGGCTTGTTAAGCGGTTGCAGATCATTCACAATATAGAAATACTTTTTAATATACACAGACTGGGCCTATATACAGATCACTTTATTTACAATATTTAGAGTGATTGGTGCGACTGACTGTACAATTATTCTAACAGTAGCATTACATTCACACAGGTAACCCGTCAGCCCCGCTGCTTTAGGGATTATAATAACCTTTCAGGCTCACTTTCTTGCTTCAATCCTTGTTTATTCATTAACTGTTCAATTTCTGATATTTGTTTGTTGTTATTTTACCACATTTTACCACATTTTACCACTGTCGTATTCAGTCATATCACAAATAAAAGAGTCCATGAGAGACAAATAGAGAACCTATGACATGGACACTCCCCTTTCATGTGGTTAAGTTGACACAGACTCAACTAACATCTGAAGATAAGATATTCCTTTATTTGTCCCACAATGGGGAAATTCCCATTCAGCATTTAACACCAGAGTTTGTCAACCCGGACATCCTTGATAACCCCTTATTAAATCTGACACAGCCCTCCGGTGTGTTTTACTGCTCATATCTGTTCAAGAAAAATGTGTTACACTGAAAAAACTGAATTGCTGGACCAGCTAAACACAAATTAATTGAGTTATCTGTCAGAACAGGTTAGATCAACACAATTACTTTGAAAAAAATCCTTTCTGCATTACTAACTGAAGTAATTTAAGTAGTTAAATGACTTTATTCAGTGCAGTTTCACTTTAACCTAACCTCAATGCTGATTTTGATTAAGCTTACTGTGGTGAATATTCTGGTTTTTATCTATTTTGTGATTGCAACATTGAATTTAAATATTAATAATTGATGTGAAACCTTGTTATCAGTCTGTCCAGTGCTTTGTTATTTCTACACACAGGAAAGGAGATATCAAGGCTTCAACGGAAAGTGACTTCTGATTTTCCCTCAACGTCTTTCTGTGGATATAATATATGAAAACCTACTGACAGAGAATGAAAAGAATGACACACGTGAACAACACAAACACATTTAATAATTATTAAATGTTGGTTTTATTTTTGATCTTTTTTTGTTGTTTTGTTTTTTTTCCAAAGTCGCTTGATAATCTTGACAAAATTGCAACATATTCCATACTTCTCAAACTGACGGTGTGTCTGTTGCTATTCCAGATTAGCTGTGGAGGGAAAAGTTGTGCGCTGTTCTGGACAGGTGAAGTCCTAACTGATGAAAGCAGCTTTTGACCGTACAAATAAAAAGAACACATGAACGACTCAGAGAGACTCCACACTGGCATCCTATGTTGTAATGCTGCAGGGTCAGGGTCTGTGTCTCTCTGCACAAGTCCTGGTCGGCCAGGCCTAACAAAAAAGGAGTGACTGGAGAAAAGTTCAGGGGCTCAGTAGCAGAAGTGTGTGTATGTGTGTATCTGTGACCGGAGGGTTTGGAGGTGCAGCACAGAACATATACAAAGAACAGGCCAAGCACACAGAATGATTCCTTCCTGAGACATTGGTGTGTGTACAGTAATGATGGTCTAGATAACGTGTGTTAACGGTGAAGGCGTCTTGGCGTAAAGTGAGTTGCAGGGTGCAAGGTTGCTCTGGATCCGGCAAAAAGTCACATATTTGTTTCTACCACAGGTTGCC